ATTATGTTTAATAATTCATTCTCATAATTGTTGTTTATATAATGCATTTAAAAATATTATACTCACAATGATTACATACAAGTATTTTATTTAAATAAACAAAATACAAATTCTTACTTAAAGTTATCTATTTTATTTATGGATTAATATTGATCCTAACAAAATATTTTTTTTTAAAAAGTCGGTGAAATTCTTTTAAATATTATGATTTAGGATTAAGAGTTATCTAATGTAACAATTACTGTTCAAACAGGTTTTTATAAGCAATTTTCTATAGAAATAAAAAGGAAAAAACCCAAAAATCTTGAAACTAGGGGTCAATACCAACAAAAAAGAAAACTTTGGGTCACTTTCACTCTATTCAACTCATTTTGTTTGCATTTTACTTTCTGTTATAATTATATTTGCATAGCATATGCGTTGATTTTAATATACAACAATTATTTTATAATTCTTTATATTATGCGTTAAATCAATGCATTTAAAAAAAATCATAAATTTTTTAACAATTCTTAAATCTTTACAAGTATTCAAAAGGCAATAATAATTATCATAACTTTAATATTCAAATCGATATTTTATAATTATTGAAAATTTAAATAATTATCGAAATCATTAAAAACTAATTTTTTAACAATTCTTAAATCTTTACAAGTATTCAAAAGGCAATAATAATTATCATAACTTTAATATTCAAATCGATATTTTATAATTATTGAAAATTTAAATAATTATCGAAATCATTAAAAACTAAACTTTCAATAACACTGATAGTCTTAAATAAAAGTAATAAAATACATTGAAAATTTTATTAAACCTATATTAAAAGTAGATATTATCTTTTTTAATGTATTTCCAGAAACTGTGAAGAATTTTAACAACTTTTTGAAAATAATATTTTAGGTACTATTTATAAAATAAAATACCTTGGTTTCTATATAAGGCTGCAATGTTTAATCAGAATTAGTCACTCGTATGAAACTTTTAATTGCATAATTCAAAGTGACAGACATTTGGACAGTTATCTTAATAGCCTATCACTTATGATCTCTTGTTTCGCAGACAAATACAAGAGTGAATCATATGATTAAAAGTACTTTAAATATTATATTAGAGTCCATTAATTTAAATTTGAAGATATAGTATCCAGGGCTACAATTGACTTGTTGGATTCAGTATTGCATAAAAATATGTCAGACTAGAAATTGATATTTGAAATAATATTAGGCAATAATGATCAATTATCTTTGTAAATCAATAAATAAATTAATATAATACAATAGCTAAGTGATCAATATTATGGTGTCATTGTATTTAAAATTAAAGTTACCAAAAGTTATACTGTACAATACTGTACTAGTATAATTTATAACACATTATTACAATTTGAAAAATAAATCAAATTTAATTTATGGTTGAATCTTTTTATATGTTTAATAATAAATAAATTGTTTTGTTTATTATATTATCACACTTCTGGTGGGCGTTACTGATCAGCTACTAAATTATGAAATAAAGTATTAATTTTACTTTTCACGTCACAATAAGTATAAGTGATTTTTATAACTCGTCATAAGAAATCAGAAATTAAAATTTCTGAATTTTTAAATTTAAATTTAATAAAAATAGCTCATTCAAGTTGTAGCCTTTCAATATATTAAATAATAATCATAAAATAAATTTCCGAAGTAGAATACGATTGATAATCATTTGGGAAAATATTTTATTTTAAAAAATAACATAACCTTCGAGTTAATGGTATTTCGAAAATACACAATTTTCTTATAATGTTTTCTTATGAGAATAATTATCGGAGTTTTCAATTTTGTTTAATTATATCTTATTTTCGATTCACTTTTAGATTATAGTCTAAAGGCAATTAAAACAATGAAAAATATATAGACAACCTTTTGCTCAATGAAAGCCCTATTCATACCATTTATCTGAAAGTCAATCAACGATAATGAGGTGGGTTTGGGCCACAAATGTTATTAACTTTGACATTATGTGACAATATTTGAGAGGGAAAGTAAGACAGGAATTGGAGTCAGTGAGTGAGGGGAGACAGGTCAGTCGACTGTGAATAATAAATATTCACACATAATTAACATATTAACAATTCAATTACTATTATTCAAAGTGATTGCACTGAATATTTGCGTCAATCTATAATTATTAAATAAAAAAGGTTTTTGAATGCCATGCTATTGTTTGTTTAGCTAGGCTCTCTTATTTTTTATTTGTATTTATGAATAATATAATAATTACGATTGAATAACAATAGATTTCATATGAAAACATTTGTTAATGCTATATTTAACATCCAGACTTTCTCGTAAAAATAAATATAAAATTTTGGTTAACATTTTGTTCATAAAATATTGTCTAATAATAACTATTATCTCTTTTATTTTGTGAACATAAGCACCACTTTTATACCGCATATTTCTCATNATTTTCAAAAAGTTGTTAAAATTCTTCACAGTTTCTGGAAATACATTAAAAAAGATAATATCTACTTTTAATATAGGTTTAATAAAATTTTCAATGTATTTTATTACTTTTATTTAAGACTATCAGTGTTATTGAAAGTTTAGTTTTTAATGATTTCGATAATTATTTAAATTTTCAATAATTATAAAATATCGATTTGAATATTAAAGTTATGATAATTATTATTGCCTTTTGAATACTTGTAAAGATTTAAGAATTGTTAAAAAATGTATGATTTATTTTAAATGCATTGATTTAACGCATAATATAAAGAATTATCAAATAATTGTTGTATATTAAAATCAACGCATATGCTATGCAAATATAATTATAACAGAAAGTGAAATGCAAGCAAAATGGGTTGAATAGAGTGAAAGTGACCCAAAGTTTTCTTTTTTGTTGGTATTGACCCCTAGTTTCAAGATTTTTGGGTATTTTCCTTTTTATTTCTATAGAAAATTACTTATAAAAACCTGTTTGAACAGTAATTGTTACATTAGATAACTGTTAATCCTAAATCATAATATTTAAAAGAATTTCACCGACTTTTAAAAAAATATATTTTGTTAGGATCAATATTAATCCATAAATAAAATAGATAACTTTAAGTAAGAATTTGTATTTTGTTTATTTAAATAAAATACTTGTATGTAATCATTGTGAGTATAATATTTTTAAATGCATTATATAAACAACAATTATGAGAATGAATTATTAAACATAATATTTTCAAATAGATTACAATTTTAATTAACATTTAAATCTGATTTGTTTGTTTGTTTATTATACCTTTCATTTAATTTAAGACGACTATAATTTGGTAGAAAAAAGTCTCTTAATCTCAAAGAGATCTAAGTTGTGGTTACGTACAGAATGTGCATAACATTGAGAAAAACAGTGTATAAATAATTGTCGAAATAAATTGTATTGAGTATTAAATTTTATAATCTTTAGTTGAATCACACGAAACAAAATAATAATTTTCATAATTGAAAAAATCATTTGTTTTTCTCCATTCACTGGTAATGTAGGAAAAAACTTTCACTTTTCACGAAAGGCATTGAGAATTTGAATTTAAATATAAAAATCATAAAAATCTCGTTTGAAGTTATCTATTATAAAGCCATATATTTTATAAAAGGAATTTTTAATTAAAAATAATATATAACTTTTTGGAAAATTTATGAGTATTTGAACTTAAGGTATGGTTTAAATTATTATCTTATTGTGCATTAAATCCGTAACTTATTGCGAAATTGCGAAACAGACTTTTATTAATATTTACAATAAATAACAAATAACTAGTAAATCATTTTTTACAAATATTGTTATTCTCATTAAAAATAAAAATCAATTTGTTTTGTCCTTATTTTAAATGCTATCGACGATAACTTATCGTTTAAAAAATAATTATGTAATCAATTAATAACCGAAATACATATTATATAAAAATATAAAAATAAAACATTTAATAAAATATTATTGATGATTCAAATTAAGGCAAAACAACATTATTACGATGTGTTTTGGGACGACTCACCCCACAGTCGGGAATGATTCGGGTATTTGGTCGGGAACCCGGTTCCGATTACAGTCCAGTGCCCGGACCCGGCGTAGGGTATATGCCTCAGGAGTTGGCGCTCTTTCCAGACTTTACCATAAAAGAAACGCTCAGATATTTCGGACAATTATACCGAATGTCACCTAAAGATATCAAATCGAGGACTAAGTTCTTGATAACTCTTTTGCATTTACCCGAGAAGAATAGATTAGTGTCACAGCTGTCAGGTATGAGCTAATCATCCAAAAGTTATTGAATTTATAATTTAACATATGATTTGTGGCCAAACAGGTGGACAACAACGTCGTGTGTCCCTGGCCTCAGCACTGGTACATCACCCGCCGCTCCTGATATTAGACGAACCGACCGTAGGTGTGGATCCAGTGCTTCGTAAAGCAATTTGGGAGCACTTGGACGCCCTGTGCAAAGAGGACGGTCTGTCTGTCATCATAACGACTCATTACATAGAGGAGGCGCGAACTGCAGAGACGGTGGGACTCATGAGATTCGGGCGACTCTTAGTTCAGGACAATCCGGACGCTCTGTTACAACACCACGACTTACCCACTCTGGAGGCCGTCTTCCTGAAGTTGTGTCAATTAGATTCAGCACAAGTGCCAGAGATCTCCAGCAGAGATGTGGCCCGATATAACGCACCCGAAGGCAGTATCACTATATCTACCATTGAGAACGAGAAGAAGAACTTAA